TCCCGTTCCTTCCCACAGGAACTTGGAGTCCCTCAGGGCTGTGTCTTGAGTGTCACACTTTTTAGTGTTAAAATTAATGCCATCACTACAAATCTTCCTCCGACTGTTGCAAATGGGCTCTATATCGACAACTTCCACATCTTGTGTCAGTCGTCGAACATGAGGTTTATTGAGCGGCAGCTTCAGACTGCCCTCAATCGGTTGTTGACATGGACAATGCAAATGGTTTTAAATTTTCTTTTTCCAAAACCGTTTGCATGCATTTCTGCCGCCAACGGGGTCTCCACCCCGATCCTGAGCTCCGTCTTGGCAATATAGTTATTCATGTGGTCCCTGAGGCAAAGATGTCAGAGCCCTTGCACACTTGACACGTAGCTGCTTGATGTGTGGAATGAAGCTAAGCTTACGGTCAAAGATAAGCCCCAAGAACATGGGACTCAGTGTACAAACTCTGGACTGGTGAAGTGCGAAAAGCACCGGTGCAGAGCCGAAGCCCCAGATGGTGGATGGGGTCCAGCATCTTCAGGGCCGAGGTCCTGGCGGAACCATAGACCAAAGACCCATAGTCCAGTTTGGATCGAATCAGAGCACGATAGATCCTGAGCATAGAACAAGAGCTGGAAGAGAGGACACGGAGGAAAACTTCTCTTCACCTCCGTTGTTTGCAACGTTCTTTACAGTATGCTACTAAGCTTCGATCCTTACCATGGCATCTCACCTGGAATTGTGTTTTTCTTCCTCGGTGGGCAGTGCTCTTTCAGAACAGATGGTCTGCTATTCCTCCGTTTAGCCTTCGTATCCGGGCGCTACTGGCTGAATTGGGTCTGGCATTGCTGTCCCCAATGATCAGCCCATTCCACCATGGCTTATTACCATCCCATCCTGTGACCTTTCCTTGAGTCATCTGGGGAAGGTGGATACTCCCGATTGGAAGTACCGTCTTCTTTCTGCTGAACATCTTTCGAGCCATTCTTCTCTTCCCATTTACACAGATGGTTCGAAATCGGGTGACTCTGTAGGTTCTGCCATGGTTTGCTGTGGCTCGGTAGTTGCTCGTAGGATCCCCTCTACAGTTTCTGTGTTCACCGCCGAGTTGTATGCTATTTCTCTTGACCTGGATCATGTAGAAGGTATGCAATACAGTAATTGTACTATTTACACTGATTCTCTTAGCTCACTACTGGCCCTGGAATCGCTTAACATTAGTTCTCACCATGTTCTCATCGATATTCAACACCGATTGGCCCACTTTTCTTTATTTCCATCCAGTTTTTCTGGATCCCTGACCACGTCGGTATTCACGGGAATGAGCTCACTGACACCGCAGCTAAGTCCGTCTGCTCTAGTGCCATCACGGTTGTGCCTGTCCCATACATGGACTACGGTCCTGTCTTCAAGGCGCGGCTTCATGCCAGTTGGCAGTCGACTTGGAGTAAGCAACGCCATAACAAGCTTTTCCAGATTAAACCTTCTGTTGGTCTTTGGCCGTCTTGCTTACGTAAGGATCGGAAGTAGGAAGTAGTCCTGGCAAGGCTACGCATTGGTCATAGTTTTTTAACCCATCGTTTTCTTTTATCAGGTATTGACCCACTGATGTGTAGCCATTGTGACATTCAAGTATGTATTGGTTTTAACTCGCTGTATGTTTACATTTTACTTTAATTTACTTTCATTGTTTTTACCAGTTGTTTGGCACAGATAGCCTCGCTGCTTTGCGGCATAAAGCACCAAACCAACCAACCAACAGAACATATTTGTTACAGTGGTTACATTTTATATATTTGAGATCTCTAGATAACAGTTAAAGAATGTGGCATCTTTAGTTTTATTATTTTAAAAGTTTTTGCTATATGCTACTACAACAGTCATTTTACATTATTTAGAATATATGGGAAGTTTATGCTTAAGTTTAGACAAAGAAATTAATAATTTTGTGTGAATCCTATTAAATCTTCAGAACCACATCATTCTGACTGCAGATTTCTCAGAGAGTCATAATCATATGCTTTAGCTGTTATAGATGGAGTTATACTTCTCATATTAACTGGGGAGAAAAACACTGTTTATTTTTAGTTATGTTTAGATATCAATTTTTATAGAAAAAAGAAAGTCTTCCTACTGATAGCTTAGGATTAGATTCTAACCAAATGTACTCTTAATAATAATGTATCTGTGTAATTTTAAGAATATTTAAAGTTCAAAAACTAGGCTAAATTTAATAGCTGCATTATTCATAGAATCATGAAATTTAGCAAGTAAGTATACATGCTACATTAGCAATAACATAGCACGAGGGAGGTATGAATAAATACTTCCTCTCATGGACGAACATTACTGGCGAACCTTACTGTTTCAGTTTATTACTTGACTGTCTGATTTCTTTCAATACTTCCTATTCTAGTGTTTATAGTCAATTTGGACTTTTTATGCCATAATAGAACATACCAATTTTTTGTTTATATTTTGACAAAGGAGTGTTTTAAACTGGCCTGTTGCTGTTAAAAAATTGTTTTATGTAAATTATAGCAGTTTTGTGTCATTTTCTTTTGCCTATTGAACTATTGATGCGTTAATATTGTTTTTAAATTTTAATATGTGCTTTAATGTTTTCTATTTCTCTAAATCCCTTTGGTAAAGCTCTGGATTTCTGAGCTGGTGAATCAGGTTCAAATCCATGCAATACCACAAAACATTCCACACACTTAAAGTTGTGGGTGCATTATAAGAGTGACAGTCAATCCTTTAGAATGGGTGGTGGCAGGGTGATACTGACTGGCTGCCTGCTCTCTGATCAGGTATGGCAGCAGATAGCCTTAGTAGCTTTTCCATAAATACAAAAGTTTTTTAAAATGTAAGTACAGCAACCTTTGACCCCTACGTATATTGTACATGGCTGAACTTTTCTGTAAAACTGAGTGAGTTTTGGATATACTAACTAACGCAGGAAGAGACTTCAACATTTTTGTTTTATCATAAAACAATAAAAATGTTTGGTGATGAATACTGCCTATCTTTTATATATATATATATAGGAGCTGGTTGTCAGCTATGTGTAATTCTCCCTCTTAATTTCAAACAACGAGATTCTTAATGTCTATTGGAAATTATGTAAATGAATACATTGAATTGTAGGGTTCACTCTTTTAAATCTTGTAATCAAATATTGCATTTTTGTAGAATTTGATTGTAAAAGCAGGGGTGTGAAATTCATTTTATATATATATATATATTTAAAAATCCTTTTTGACATGTATCATATCTTTAATGTTTATTTTACTAGGCAGGGTTTTACTGCTACTAACATTAAGTGTCAAGATAAGTCTATAGCTCAGACTATTTACATTGCACTTGTAACTGGGAGTAAAATTCAAGCTGCCTTAAAGGCACCCTCTAGTTCTTTTTTCAGCTGGATGGGATGATGTTCTACCATCAGTGGTTAAATCTGCTAGTGCTCCAGTTATTAAACCCTTAACTGTACTTGTAAATAAAGTATGTACAACTGGTAAATTTCCTGAGATTTTTCAAATTACTAAGATTGTTCCCATTTATAAGAGTGGGGATCCTGATCATGTGGAAAATTATTGGCCTATTTCTATCTTATCTGCATTCACTCGTATTATTGAGGGTATATTTTACAACAGAATTATTGTGTTTCATGAGTAAATTTAGATTTTAAGTAATTCGCAGTTTGGTTTCAGTAAGCACAAATCTGTAAAGTGTTTATTGGCTATTGCTATGAAATCAGTTTTAGTCAGTGCTTTTAATATTGCCAGGATGTTTGTTAGCATTAATCACACAGTTTTACTTTATAAATGTGCTCATTACAGTCTATGTGGTAATATTTATGATATTCTTAAAACATACTTACTAAAGAGGCAATTTAATACCTCAATTAATGGTATAAAGTTTCTTTTCTCTAGTCTCCATTGTGGGGTTCCTCACGGTTCAATCCTTGGCCCTCTCTTATTTGTTATTTATGGTAATGATTTAATTTTGGTATGTTCAAAAGATGCATGCAATCTATATGCTGACGACTTGACTCTTACTGTAGAGGCTGATTCTCTTGCTGACTGTTTTAAAATAGTGAAGAATGAATTATTTTCAATAGATACTTGGCTTATTCACAACTGCCTAGTTTTAAATATTTGTAAATTACATTATATGATTATATCAAGGGAACAAGTAAATGATGTTTTAAGGGAAATATACTCTCCAAAGTTGATGCAATAAAAGTTCTTGGAATTATTATTCAGAATAACCTCAGATGGAATGAGCATATTAAAAGTATCTTAAAAAAACTCGCCAGAGTAGTCTGTATTATGATTCGGTGTAAGAGGGTTTTTCCTCTATCAAATTTATTATTCCATCTTCTACAGTCAAATGACTTATTGTTTAGGTGTTTGGGCTCATATTTTAATGCCTCAAGATCAATCTAGTTGTTACAAAAGAGGGTCTTGAGGCTAATGAAAGGCCTTCCTTATAGAGCATCAGTTTCAAACAAATTTAAGGATTATGGACGTTTAACTACTTATCAAGCCTGTGTTTACTGCTTCATTTATGTTGCAAGAGATATTATAATATTTAACCCTAAAATGAACTTGTTAATTCTCTCTAGAGATAGTTTATATTTGTTTTGTCATAGAAATATCTATTACTATCCAAGAAGCACTTCAATTCTGAGTTCTAAGTTTTTGGTTATTTAGCTCCAGTGAATCTAAATAACTGAACTTTGATGATCGGTCAACTCAAGTATAGAGCTATTTAAATTAAAAGTGTGTAATTATGTATTTAATAATTATTCTGTGTTTGGTTTAACTTGTGTATAAATAGTTCTTTTTTATAGTTACTTATCTTTCTTGGCTGTAACTCATTGATTGAATATTAATAAAATATATATATATAGATATTTGATACTAGATCATTTTTAATGGTTTTAGTTTTCAAATATGTATACATACAAGTCAAACTTGGTGGTGTGATATTAGATGAAATGTTATTAATTTGTGAACTCTAAGCAAAGCTTTTAAAAGAATGTTGAAATTATTAGCATAAAGTCACATGTAAATACTGTATTATAAGATGAATTATTATTTTGCAAAATGTACGGAGTCTGTTGCTTAAAAAAGGTTGCAATACTATATTACTTATATTCATGTTGATGCATGAACAATGTCATTGTAGTTTTACACGTTTGCCTACCTGTTGATGTACAAAGTAGAAAAACATAAAAAAGAAGCTATTATCAAGGATCGGTTACTGATTTTCTATAATGCATGACAGAGTGACCACGATTTTATTCTTATGCAGGTCTATGGAGAAACATCCTATGAATTTGTTGCACAGATGATCAAGGAGATTGAGGTTACAGAGGATGATGTATTTTTAGACTTGGGGAGTGGTGAGTAATATTGGTTGGTTAAAAAGTATCATTAGAAATTACAAAAAGTGTTTCAGTTCATTACGGAACATTCTAGAAATTGTAATTTTCTATAAACTGTGATGTCAGTAAACGTTTTTCCTACTGAATTTGTATTTTAAACTTACCTCCTCATCCTACTGAAACTAAATGTTTACAATTATCTTCATTACTTTGTGAATTGTGGAGAACTGTTGACAGCTTAAAATGGTCAGAACAATACTTACTATAGTAAATGTGTTTCTAAACAGTTATCATGGTCATATTAGTGGCTGGTACTGTATTTTGTGTTCACTCTGCAATGTCATAACTAAAAATATATGTCTCTGGTATTGTAATACAATGTATTTTGTAAAAATGTTTACTTTTAGTATTTCACATTGTATGTTAACATCCACATTTCTAGGTGTCATTAAATCTTAAATTAAGTTAGAATACAGCATAACAAAAATATTATTTCCTGTTTGAGATATATACATACACACACACACTATCCTGCCAAAAGTCATAGGAATCAGGTAGCTATGAATAAAACCTGTTTTTATTCCAAGAAATTAACTCTTTCAATCCGAGCTTGGTCCGTGGGACCAACCTCATAACCATTTTGTGCTTGTTATACTTTTCATGCTATAATTTTTAAATTAGTAAGCGAATGTTAACAAAACTTGGCAATTTATCAGTAAACATTACAATGCTTTCATACACAAAATATCTAATTTTTTTTTATTAAGTCTTAAGGTTTGAAAAGCAATGTTTCTCTCATGCCTTTTTTTTTCTTTCATATCTTGCCTATCTATCATGCAAAGT